AGCACTCATGATTCGATCGCTTGAGTTTGTGTTAATTAATTAAGATCTTGTGCTCATCAGATCGGTCTCCGGGCCAAGCACTGCTAGCCTGGAACACAAGGATGAACATAGCTGCCGGCGTGGCCAAGGGTTTAGAGTACCTCCACCACAAAGGTGTGGTGTACCGCAGATTCATGAGCAGCTCGGACATCTTGCTCGGAGACGGCCACCACCCAAAGCTGTCCCAGTATGGACTCACAAACCTTGGTCGGATAGTTGCAGAGGATGACGAGGAATTGTGTATCGATGTCACCAGAACCGGTACTATTGCCCCCGAGATAGCATTTACAGGGAAGGCGACCATGGAGTCGAACGTGTACAGCTTCGGCGGCCTACTTCTAGAGATGATCACGGGGCGGAGGGCCTTCGACCGCGCCCAGCCAGCCGAGGATTCGCACCTTGTCACATGGATAGGTTAATTAGCCAAGCTGGTGGTTCACATATTTGTTGTTTCTTGTTAATTTGGCCGTGAATGGTGTGAAGCTTGTTGTTGGATCAGGCCACACGATTGATGGACAGGAGCCAGTTCCGCCGGATGGCAGATCCAGCACTGCAGGGCCGGTATCCGTCCATGGATTTGCAGGAGGCACTGAAAGTTACTTTCATGTGCATCCACCAACAGCCGGACATGAGATCGCCCATCGGCGCCGTCGTCGCAGCTCTATCTCGCCTTGCCGCCTACGACGGTCATCCACCTGAATCATCACACCGTGCGGCGCCTCGTTAACCTAGGGGAGAAACGACGTATGTCGGCGTCATCTCCAGACGCATGGATCATCATCAAGTTATATTAATTACTTAATGTAGTTGTGAACTTGTGATTCTCACTTGTTGTGGAATAAAAGTGCCTGCATTGTTTAGATGGTTCATCACTGCACATGTTAAATTGGCCCTTATTAATGGATTTAGAAGTTGTCTTGGTTCTAGAGGTGGAAATTAAGGTGCGTACGGTGTAAGCACGATCAGGAAGTCCATAGAGATCACATAGATTGAATTTACAAAAGTAAATGTGATAATACCTTATGGGTATCACGGACACGGATACAGAAGCTGTGGACTCCAAGTTTGAGACATGTAAAAGTACGTGGGAGACAAGGTAATGGCTGATAGGCACTTTATACAATTACAAGGTAATGGCTGCATTTTACCGCGACTGCTGGAGCCAGCGCTGCGCGCCGCGCCAAACCAGGCGATCGGCACGCTGCAAACTGATTTTTAGCGCGCCGCGTGTTGGGCGGCTATTGGAGATGCTCTTGCAGTCGAGTCTGAAGTTGCTTTCACATCCACTGTCATATTCTTATACTTCAGCTGGCTCTGGAGCTCCCTCAAGCCATGGATTCATTTTTCTTTGTGCTTGCAGCAGCAATTGTCTACTAGTAGAAGATAAAAACGAACACGAGTTATCACAATATTAGAAAGATCACTACAGCAATTCCTTTAGAAAGATTGACGAAGAAATGCAGTGTTCAGAGACATAAAGAAAATTGGGAATGACTTATTATACACCATAGCGAAAGGTTACCATTGTTCACAGCCACACAACATTACAGTGACTTTACTTCTTCATTCAAGAGTAGATTCACAAAATAATAATAAGAAAATACAATGCTAACATAATTAATCCTACAAGATCTCTATGGACTAGATCATGCTAGTTGTTGCAGCACAAAAACATAACTGAAAACATCTTAGTTCAGCGCCCATCAGGACATTATTAATCATGATTCATGAAGCAAAAATAGTCCATGACCCATGAACAAACATACAGCAGTCAACAAAACTGCATCGGCCATCCAAACACAAACTGGAGGCACAGTGTCAGCTAGGATCGCCTGTAGGCTGAAGCCATCAGACAGGGCAAGCGTGTCACCATCAGGAGGCCCTTCCAAGAATCTGCGCATTGGACATCAAACATACAGGTACGGTTATATATCAGGAAAACAAGGAAGGGTACAAACATGAAAGGAGAATGCACTGGCTCCTATATAACTTACCTACATTTACATTTCTTGTGCAAAGCCCTCGCTAACAAGCATTTTTTGTTGGTCCAAGGAACAGCTACCTGATTCCTGGACATCTGAGCTGAGTAAGGGTAGTGAAAAATCAGATAAGGTTCGTCAATCCCAAGCAGTTTTTTTTTACTCTTGAGAGTACTGCAAGTTACGAAATGGCGTCTATCTTAGCAAACTTGGGAATTGACTTACCCTACAGTAGACCCCTTTTATTTCTGAATGTGGCTGGTATGTTACACATATTTTTCTTGATTGGAGCTAAATGGTGAACGTGCAGCATTCCTTCAATTCCATTTTCATGATCATAAGGGTGCAGGATTATATAAGTGCCTCTCAGTCTCTCTTTAACAACATATAGGGTGCTATTTGCATCTCTGAACTCTAACCTCTTTTTCAGATATGTTGTAGTAGTGATAACAAAAGAGAAAGGGGCATAATTGCAATGCAAGTTATAGTTTCTGAATTTTGAGGGATTTGCCTTGTAAATTTGATGCCAAAGAGAGAATCTAAAGTGCTCTTCAGATATCTGCATGATTTTCAAACTACTTTTGATTTCTTTTTCTATACATGTATTTAAAGGCACCAAAGTTTTTTAGAGCCAACTCATATACTCCCTCAGTTTCTAAATATAAGACTTCTTAGAGATTTCAATGCGGACTACATACGGATGTATATAGACATATTTCAGAGTGTAGATTCACTCGTTTTGCTCCGTGGTAGTCCATACTGGAATCTCTAAAAAGGCTTATATTTAGGAACAGAATGTGTTTATTCTGCAAAAGGTACTAGCTGAGACTTTCATGCTGGTCCGCAATATGTCTATTGACAATAGTTTCAAGTTACTATACAGTTTCTTGCTGCGTTAATAATCCGTTCTAACAGGAATAGTCAATATATGTAGTCTCTGACCCTTCTCGACTGTGGAAGGCAATTCTTTAGTTGAGAAGCAGTCTACTGAAGAAGAAAAAAACAAGCAGAGGGCAAATAAAGAAGAGGTGTTGCGAAGTATTTTTGTTATTGTGTAAGATAATAAGAACATTTGAATGTTGGAAAAACTGTATGGCCAATAAAGCATCAAATTCAGGTCCTAAAGATCTCTTTGGACCTGTCTAACCCAAACATGCATTGATGGATGGATATGTTTAAACCTTCCCTTCAAAAGAACGTGTTTATCCGCAGGATATTTTGAAACCCAAAAATTTTGAAAACATTTTCAGCAAGAAATCTTCCAGTGGGATATGGATAAACCAAAACGTTTGCTGAAATCAGGAGACACCGAGACAGGCATTGATTTTTAAGATCAGACTGTTACTTCCCGTACGTTCACTCCTCACTGATACAATGCAGTTGAGCTGTTTATTTACTTGTTATAGGTATATCATTCTTTGACCCCTTCTTTGGCTTCTATTTTAGCACCTTCTGTGCCAAGCGCTTCCAAGGATAATTTCAGTACTGGAAAACCGCCAAAACAGAAAAAATAGTGGGAAAAATAATACAAATAGAGCATGTGAGTTCAAATGATAAATTACCTAATGGCTTTCTCTAGTACTGGTTCATCTTCATCGATCATGTGATACTTTTTTGTAAGCAATCCATTCTTTAGAGCTTCATCATCACTATCGGATCTGGATGCATGTAAATTGTAAACTACTAGATGCCAACAGAAATATGTGCAAATGGATCTTAAGACATGTTAGAGCTAAAAACACGTTCTAAAGTTCAGAGGACCTTCTGTTACAAAAACATGCAGTATCACACCTCCTCAGCTAGGATCTCATGGTTGTCGAACCTTTTTGCTCTGCAGGGAAGCATTAAGATCTTAACACAGGCGAACATGTGTTCACCTTTCTGATATGCAGCAGCTTCGCCTGCATCATCTTTGGTTACACCTTCTGCCTCAACTACGCTGTTGACAACACCATGAAGCTGTGATTTGCAGGTGCAAGAAATCCATCAAGATGGATCATGGCATGCGACACAAAATTTGATAGTTTTATTGAAGACAGTATGTACAGTATGAGCAGTGCAAAATAGAAACATCTCTTGTCTAGATCCTAATTTACCAGTTGTTAGCATCATGGTACAGGTGAGTTGATTGCAGCAGTCACGGGGATCAAAAGGAAATACAGAATAAAACAGCCAGGCTAAAACAACATAAAGCAGATGGACACACAAAACTGAATGAGCCAAGGTTGTTCATTCAGGTTCAGAGGCAATCAACAAAATTACTGGTGATTACAAAACTTAATGCAGCCAGAGGCACCGTTTAAGCTAAAAACTTGAAGCAATTTATGACACAGTAGCATAAACCGGCAGAAAATTTCACGAGTTGGGATAATAGAATGCACGATTTGGTCACTCACGATCACTGACAGGCTCACATACAAGCAAAAACAGGCATCAAAAGGCACAGATCTTAGAACAGATAGCCAACATTTTTCATTTAAATTACTGATGACAGCAAGATGGTGACATCAGATCAGGCACACTACATTTCCACCGATGAACACATCTGGCTAAGACGACGACGAACAGAGCTTAGGCCCTCTCGCCACGGATGCGGCGTGCGAGCTGGATGTCCTTGGGCATGATGGTGACGCGCTTGGCGTGGATGGCGCAGAGGTTGGTGTCCTCGAAGAGCCCCACCAGGTACGCCTCGGCGGCCTCCTGCAGGGCGGAGACGGCGGAGGACTGGAAGCGGAGGTCGGTCTTGAAGTCCTGGGCGATCTCGCGGACGAGGCGCTGGAAGGGGAGCTTGCGGATGAGCAGCTCGGTGCTCTTCTGGTACTTGCGGATCTCGCGGAGCGCGACGGTGCCGGGGCGGAAGCGGTGGGGCTTCTTGACGCCGCCGGTGGCCGGGGCGGACTTGCGGGCGGCCTTGGTCGCCAGCTGCTTCCTCGGCGCCTTGCCGCCGGTGGACTTCCTCGCCGTCTGCTTGGTGCGGGCCATGGCGATGCGCCGGGGGGAGGAGGTTCTGGTGCTTGAGGAGGAGGGATTGGGGTGAGGAGGACGGAGGGGAGGGAGCTGTGCTAAATAGGCGGCGCGCGCCGAGTGGGCGGGGTATTTTCGTGAGCTTTGCTTTTTGGGAGGGAAGGGAAGGTGGGAGTGGACCGTTGGATTTTTGGTGCGTGGACGGTCCAGATCTGGTATCGAGGTAGCGATCCGTGGGATGGTGGTTCGCGTGCTGTGATTGGTTCGCTACGAGTGGCGCGGATCGTGGAGGCGTGCGTTCCTGCTGGAGTGCTGGTGCTGCTGATAAAAAAAATTATTAGGGGACTGGTGCTGCTGATCTGCATGTGGTGTTGGGCTGTTGGCCCGAGATGGATATTCGCAACGCCAAGTGGGCCGGCCCACAGACGGAGCGAGCAGTAAACTGTCTCGCGGAAATCTGGTAGAACGAGGACTAGAACACACGACGCTACACAGCGGAATTTTTGAGCTAACCATAAGAACCATAAGAGCCGCGCTATTTATTGCACAGAAAAATACGGTTTACTTTATAACTTGGATTTGCGAATTTTTTAAATATTGTACGTTTTAGTTTATATCTTGAACAAAAGTTCATTAAATTTGAAAATAAGTTCATCAAATTTGAAAAAAGTTCATAGATTTTAAAAAAAGTTCATCGAATTTGGAAAAGGTTCATTGATTTGAAAAGAGTTCATCCTGTTTTTTTTAAATCATGGCATTTGAAAAAAGGTCCACAAACTTGAAAAAAAGTTCATCAATTTTGAAAAGTGTTCATCCCGTTTTTGAAAAAAAGTTGCGCATTTAAAAAAGGTTCACAAAATTGAAAAAATGTTCACAAATTTGAAAAAAAAGTTCACCGGATTTGACAAAGTTCATCGAATTTGAAAAAAATTCATCAAATTTGAAAAAAATTCATCAAATTTTTAAAAAAGTTCATCGAATTTGAAAAATAGGTTCACAAATTAAAAAAGCACGCATTGAAGAGAACAAAGAAAGATGAGAAAAAAAGAATAAAAGAATAAAAAAGAAACCGAACTGAAGAACGAGTAAAAAGAGAAGAAAGAACTAACTAGTCCATTCCGGGCGGATGCCCTGGTGGCTACAGCCGTGCGCTTTAGACTAAGAGATCGCGGGTTCGACTCTCCATCGCCTCACACTTTTGTGTTTGAAAACCAGGAAAAAAGAACGAAACGGGCCGGCCAAGTTAGAAGCGCCTGCAGGCGCCAATTGGCGAACCGGCGCATCAGCGCCAAATAGGATTTGCTCGCTAACATCCGAAGTCAAAAATGTACTCCTTAGACCAACTACCTCATTTCCGTCCCATGCTACGGCCTAATGTGTGAGAGCAAGACCATAACTTGTCCGTCTCATGTCCGCCTCGAGTCAAATCCAATGTAAACTAGTAGAACGCCTGTGCGTTTGCTACAATGCGTGCATATAAATGAATCAAACAAATATTTAAGGATGTGTGCAAGGTCAAAGCTGAATTTAGTATGTTAGGTGCACGTGCATTGCCATAAGACATCGCGTGAAGGACCTTGTCTTTTGAAGTTGCCCGTGCGCTGCCATAAAAAAACAAGGTCCTTTAAACTATTTGTTTTGGACATCGACATAACTCATCTCCATCTCTCTCATACTCTGTAAAACAAACATATATATAAATACACCTTTTGTATTATCATGGGCCAAGGAAGATGATCCCTCCAGACATCTCAGCCCCTCTCAATAGAACAAGTTAAAATGTCCCTTTGTGGTCCATTTCACTTCATGATCAAGCAAAAATGTGCAAATCCTCACAGTTTTTCAGCAGTTGAAGATTCTTATTGTTTTTAAAAGTTTGACAACTTTGTTTAAATAATTATCATATCCTTTACAAGAACTGGAACCGGGAAATAAGGGGGTGATTCCCCTAGACCTCTCGGGCCCTCTCAATAAAACAAAATCAAGCAAGTTCATGTGAATCTACATTTGCTTCTCGCTCCCATTGCATAATCCTCGCCCTTCCAAAGCTTGTCATCAAATTCCGGCAATCATAAGTGACAACCGCCTTTGAAGTGTGGTACTCCATCTTCACGGCTTAAATAATTTTCAATGAGTCTCTCCACCGCAAGGGAGTAGATGCCCAATTTTTTGCTAACTGCAGGCCCATCAGTATCCATCGATGGAATGTCCAACCTTGACTATTTGTACATGCATGAAGCAACAACTAAGCCCCCAAATGAGTCATGATGAATAGCCCATAGGCACCGTTACCTCCATCAATGTGAAACGAGGTGTTCTTGTTGAGCTTGACACTGCCGGACGTAGATCAAGTCCATTTATGAACTTGTCGTTGGTGCGCGATCCTCCCAAGCAATGGAGTTTGTGACTATCGTCCTCATGCTCATCGATGAGTTTGTGACTAATAATCCACTTGATCATCTCAAGTAACAAACTACTGACTAATTAGCCATGCATCAAGAAAAGCAGAAGTTGTTCATCTCAATAAAAAAGCAGAACTATGTTAGTATTGTTGAGAGATTGCACTAGCAGAAGTATGAACCCTAGGTCTTATTTTCAAGCATTGCAATACTGTCTGTGCTCACTTTCGTTACTTGCTACCTTGTTATTTTTGTATTGTTCGTATTAAAAATATCAATATGTACTATCATTACTATACTTGTATCACCATCACTTCGCCGAACTAGTGCACCTATATAATTTACCATTGAATTTGGTGTGTTGGGGACACAAAAGAATTTTTGTTATTTGGTTGCAGGGTTGTTTTAGAGAGACCATCCTCATCCTACGCATCCCACGGATTGATAAACCTTAGGTCATCCACTTGACGGAAATTTGCTACTGTCCTACAAAACTTTGCGCTTGGAGGCCCAACACGAGTTTACAAGAATAAAGTTGCATAGTAGACATCAATGGTCCATATATTAGGGAGTGCCAACACCCTGTCACATGCATTGCTACAAAAGCATCAAGATATCTTGAATGCAATGTCATGTGTGAAGTCAACAAGGAATGATCTACAACAACTAAGAGATAATGGGTGGGAATCACTTTTGGAGAAGGTATATTTATTTTGTGCAGAACATGACATTCCAGAACTAACATGCATCATGAATATGTCAATCGACATAATACACGAAAAAGAACCAATATAACAAACCTACATCATTATCAAATAGAGTGTCTTAACACTATTATTGATTGGCAACTTTGAGATTTTGATGACAGATTCAATGAAGTAAATTTTGCAATGCTTATTCACATGGCTTCTTTCAACCCAAAAACCTCTTTTGCTATTTTTAACTTGGAGAGTTTGTTGAAGCTAGCTGAGTTTTATCATAGGGACTTTGATTCATCAAAATTGATGGATCTTGGACACTACTAGGAAATACCTTATAGATAGTGTTGGGAACATAGTAATTTCAAAAAAAATCCTACGCACACGCAAGATCATGGTGATGCATAGCAACAAGAGGGGGAGTGTATCTTCATACCCTTGAAGATCGCTAAGTAGAAGCGTTTATCAACGCGGTTGATGTAGTCGTACGTCTTCAGGATCCGACCGATCCAAGTACCGAACACACAACACCTCCGAGTTCTGCACATGTTCAGCTCGATGACGTCCTTGCCTTCTCGATCCAGCAAGACGGGCGAAGTAGTAGGTGAGTTCCGGCAGTACGACGGTGTGGTGACGGTGTTGGTGAAGAACAATCTCCGCAGGGCTTCGCCTAAGCACTACGGAAACTATGACGGAGGATAAACTAGAGGGGACGGGGTTGCCGGCACATGGCTTGGTGTTTCTTGATGTCTCTTTGGTGCTAGCCCTGCCCCTCTATTTATATGTTGACCCTTGGGGTCGAAACTTGGAGTAAAAGCCTCCACAAAGTCGGTTTCACCTGAAAGGCAAGAGTCCTTCTCGGACTCCAGGGCCAGACACCAGGGTTCCCGGCGTCTGGACCCAGACGCCAGGGACCCTGGTGTCTGGCCCCTGGACTCTGCAAAACTTCCTTTGCGCTTTCCAAAAACCTTGTGGGCTTTCCCCTTTGGCCCAAATAACGTGTTCTCGTACCCAAACATTTCGGGAAACATCCGGAACCCCTTCAGGTGAATTCCGGAACCCTTCCGGAGATCAAACACTATTATCCCATATATCAAACTTTATCTCCGGACCATTCCGGAGTTCCTCGTCATGTCCATGATCTCATTCGGGACTCCGAACAACATTCGGTTACCAACATACATAACTCATATAATACTATATCGTCAACAAAACGTTAAGCGTGCGGACCCTACAGGTTCGAGAACTATGTAGACATGACCGAGACACATTTTCGGTCAATAACCAATAGCGGGACCTGGATGCCCATATTGGCTCCCACATATTCTACGAAGATCTTTATCAGTCAAACCGCATAACAACATACGTTGTTCCCTTTGTCATCGGTATGTAACTTGCCCGAGATTCGATCGTCGGTATCTCAATACCTAGTTCAATCTCGTTACCAGCAAGTCTCTTTACTCATTACGCAATGCATCATTCCGTAACTAACTCTTTAGCTACATTGCTTGCAAGGCTTATAGTGATGTGCATTACCGAGAGGGCCCAGAGATACCTCTCCGACAATAGCAGTGACAAAACCTAATCTCGAAATACGCCAACTCAACATGTACCTTTGGAGACACCTATAGAGCTCCTTTATAATCACCCAGTTACGTTGTGACGTTTAGTAGCACACAAAGTGTTCCTCCGGTAAACGGGAGTTGCATAATCTCATAGTTGAAGGAACATGTATAAGTCATGAAGAAAGCAATAGCAACAAACCAAACGATCAAGTGCTAAGCTAACGGAATGGGTCAAGTCAATCACATCATTCTCCTAATGATGTGATCCCATTAATCAAATGACAACTCATGTCTATGGTTGGGAAACACAACCATCTTTGATCAACGAGCTAGTCAAGTAGAGGCATACTAGTGACACTATGTTTGTCTATATATTCACACATGTATTATGTTTCC